GGAAGAAAAAACGTGAAATACATATGAGGAAAGAGACACAAAATATGAAGGTATATGCACCATACTCTAAACCTGTGAGACAGACCGCGTGTCACAGTTGGAAGCCTTGTGAGCCTGGAGGAGACGATGTAGATAGAACTTATGTGTAAGTTGAAATTATTTATAATTCTTGTGACATAAATGCAAGGCCAAGAAGGGGAATTTTGGTATGAAAAGAGTAACATGACAAAGGAAAGCTGAAGGACTTGACTCAGTTCCTTTTCACTGTTAACCAGTAAGTTCACGGCCAGCATGGTGCAGAATTGAATAAGTGACATACCACTGGGAAGATTTCTGTAGGTATTCTCTCATCCATCAGCCTCAACGCAGAATAGAGATCTTCTAACTTAGGAGTCAAAGGACTTGCAATTGCAATTGCACAGCTCAGTCTTTTCCAAAATACTGTATTTGTATTCCACATCAGGCTTGAGCTGCACACACACATTTAAGATGGCCCCTGCCTTTTGTATCTTCCTGTCTCGGGAGCCAAGGCCAATACAGGAAAGCAGAAAGGAGGTATCGTTATTCCCAGTCCCCAGATGGAGAACAGAGACACAGGGAAACCAAGTGACCTGCCCAAGGTCACCCAATAAAACGGCTGCAGACCTGGCACAGACTAACTCTGATCTGGACTATTTTACTGGACTGACTCATGCAATGGTGACCCATGAGAACTGACATAAAATGCTATGATGAGGGCATCATAACGAGAAACACAGTCATAAGTGTGTGTCAAAATTAATAACCAAACAGTGGTTAAAAGCTTTATGGTAAACAAGAAACAAAAAACCTCTGTTTTTTTTTATACACACTTTTTAAAAATCATTTGTGTAGCTATAATAAATATACAGTATATAGCCTAAATTGGATATTGAGATTAAATCAAATCTATTTGTCAAGACAACAGGGAAACTCTACTAGTGTATGAACAGAAGTGAGCTGCAGCCAGCCTCTGCCACATTTCTTCCTGTGATGCAGAGAAAATCGAGTTAGATGCCGAACGATGCACAGCCTAAAACTATCCCTGTGTCTCCTTGCACAGGCGTTCCAAGCACAGAGCCTGCTCTCAGGTGCCATCCCCAAGGTAGCTAGCTAGCACTCATACTGATTTCAGCTCTACGCTTTCTGAGGGATAGTCCAAAAGACTAGCAAATACTTGAAAATGCTTTAGAAGAACATAACCAAGCATAGAGAGACAGGGTTTTTGGAGGATAACTCCTTTCAGTCAGTTGTCATATAACAAGAACCATGTTGAAAACTTATACCCTCAAATTGACATCTTATTTCAGAGTTCATACAGGAGGAAGAGATTTGGGCCTAAGATTTTTGATGCAACTACATCTCCACTAGGAAGAGTGGGGAACGTCTTACATGCTGATATAAGGGTGGGTAGAAGCCCACTTCTTAATTAGATGCACAAGCCCTTTACCTATACCCAAAACTAAATTAAACCTAACACTTGTATTTCCTGCCCAATCAAGGAAAACGGACAATATCACTCTAGCTAAAAAGCCTATTGTTGGCCACTGGAATTGAAAGGAGCAGCAAATCACGTGATTTATTTTCATTCATCAGTCACATAACAGATCTGTTTCTTTCCTCTCTTTTGTTCTGTGGCTGGGGGGGGGGGGGGGGGG